CCCCCCCCCCCCCCCCATGCAGTTTGTTGAGCACGCGGTCTGTTGGTTTCAGGCGCGGACATGTTGTGGAGTCTGTGCGCGAGAAAACTGCGCGGAGCGGCTCTTTGTTCACCAGGGCTGCTGCAAACCTTTTTTTTTTTCTGAACGGGAGATGTGTAGGGCTTCACTGATGCCCCCCCACCCCACCCCCCTCCCGCATAAGGTCTGCAGCGCCTGGCTGACAACTCCCTTTCTCCTCGCGCACCACCTCCCACCCCAGACACCCTTCTTGCCTCCTGTAACCTCCTGATGCGCAGCGGCGCCAGAGACTACCTGCCGCACCACGCGGAGGTGGGCGGACCCCCACCCCCCGGACCCCCACCTGATCCTTATTTGTCTGAAGATGTAAAATATGAGCAGAACTCCTCCACTTCTTTGATCCGAGCCGGGCTGAGTGGGAGCTGCTCATTTCCTCCCATCACCAGGAAGTTGACATCATCTTTCTCTCCCCAACCAGATGACCATGTGCGCGCGCGTTCTTGCACCTTTAAATGACTGTTTACATCCTGGATGTCTTGTTCTTACATAAGTCACCACATAGACGTGTGCGCGCGCGCGCAGCGGCATTTTTTGCCTGCTTTCCACGCAGGATTGGAGCTCGGTGTGGGCTGCCACATGCCTCAGAACCTGAGAATGATGGTCGCTACGGCGGGAGGGCGGCTCAGGCTTCTTTTTGTCTCAGTCGGGAGGAGGAGGTGGGGGGGGGGGGGGGGGGGTGTAAACCAGACTGGGCGGAGCAACGCATCGGGCCGGCCCCATCCACAGAGCGGACCGGAGCTCCACACTGTACTCAGAGTAGTGGTGGGGAGATCGATCCACGTATCGATACCAGCCTTGGTTTTGGAACAAAAACAAAGAAGAAATATTCTAAATCACTCATTCTCCACTTTAGTCTTTGCAGCATTTCATATGTTTTTTTTTTATTTTTTTATTTTTACAATGACCTTGTTTAAATCTAACTTGGGTTTTACATGCAATAAAATGGCTAATCAGCAAAAGCAGAAATCAATAATTTAAAAATGATTCCGATTTACCTACTGAAGGTAAAGCATGACACAGATCTTCCTGGTGAAACTCTGGCCTTCAGGTACAAATCAGTAAAGTCAGCGTCGAGCAAAAGTCCAGAAAATATAAAAAAAATATTTAAACGTTCTGCTGGTTTTCTTAACGCACCGTATATATTTTTTTTCCAGGCCCGTTCCTCTCTTCTCTCTGCAGAAAGAAACCAGACGAAGGAATTCCCGTAAATGCTAAAAACATTGCGCCACCTCCAGTGAATTACCGTCGGACATTAACGTGCACTAAACTAGACTTCGCGAGGAAGGAAGAAGCTGCTGCAGCGTCTCCAAAGGCCGCTCCATGCACACGTTTTGTAGTTCCTTACCCTTCATGAGAACAAACATCTGGTCATTTTTACTTGTTAATGAAGAGCTGTGTTCCTCTAACAAGTTCAGCTGAAATTAGTTCATTCATTCATATAAGAAAGTGGATGTGACACCATGATTGTGTGCGGAGGCTTAAAGAGCGCAGATGTCCAAAATACATCATGGCGGCGGCACCTGTAAAAACCTGTCCGCTTGTTTCAACTCCCAACAAAGTGAGATGATGGGCACTTAGTCTAGTCCATCCATCCATCCATCCATCCATCCATCCATCCATCCATCCATCCATCATCCATTTCTTCCTTTTCAGGTTGCAGGGGTCACTGATGCCCATCCAGTAGTCACTGTATGAGAGGTGTGGGACACCCTGGGCAGGTCTCCGGTCCATCACAGGGACACAAAGAGACAAACAAGACAACCACTCACTCGCCTAACATGCATGTTTTTGGTCTGTGGGAGGAAACTGGAGTACCTGGAGAAAAACCACGCATGCACAGAGAGAACATGCAAACTCCACCCAGAAAGGCCCCCGGCTGGGATTCAGTCCAGCGACCTTCGTGATGGGAGGCAACTGAGCCACTGTGCCACCCCACTTATAAGTCTAGTTTTATAGAAAAAGCCGTGCTAAAAAAAGCAAACTGTAAATAATCAATATCCTGATGCATGTTCAATAATCCAATTGTAAAAAAAACAAAACATCTTCAACCCATGTGTTCAGATAAGACTCCATTTGGGTCTGTGGTCCTTCATTTGGAGACCGCTACAGCTCGCCTTGTAGCAGACGGCCGCTCGTCCCGAGCCTGGTTCTGCTGAAGGTTTCTTCCTGTTAGGACGGAGTTTTTCCTTTCCACCGTTACCCCCCCGTGCTTGCTCAGGATGGGAGGCTGTGATGAATTCAGTTTATTTCTATAGCGCCAAGCCACAACAGAAGTCATGTCAGGACACTGAACAGAAACGATCATGTATAAAAATAAAAAGTTATTATTTATCCGAGGAGCAGAATCTGCTGGCTACATACATTAGATGTTACTAATTTAATTTTTATGTTTATGAATGTTTTTGCTCAGCGTCCTGAGATAACTCCTGTTGTGACTTGAGCCGAATAAATATAACGAGTTGAATAAGAGGATCGGATCGGATCGATCTCGGTGATCCTGTTCCCGTCTTTACTCGAGTATCGGATCGATACCTAATTTTGCTGTATCGCAGAGAGTGGGGGGAGCGGGGGGCGGTCTATGGGAGGGTCTAGCGCAGAGAGGGAGGAGGGGGTGAGGAGGCGGCTCTGGTGTTGGTTCTCCAGTCTCTTTCCCCCAGTCTTTGTCTCACACACTCTTTGTTAGCCATGCCTAGCCTGCTGGTTTTAGCAGGGATCATGGAGAAAAACGGGGGCTACGGCGGGGATCTGGCCGGCTCCGGCTTCGGCGGAGAGGGTCTCCTGGTGCCGCCCGACGAGGAGGAGGACGACTCCCGTGCCCTCAGGGTCGCGCTGGGCCAGCTGTCCCTGCTGGGGCTCGGGGAAGGCGAGGACGGCGGCGGAGCCCCGACGACGGGAGGAGGAGTGCAGGACCGGAGCAACAACAACAACAACAACCACCTCCACAACCACGCCAACAGCGTGGGGAGCGGCGGGGACGCGGCCGTCCTGCAGGGGAAGAGCAAGCTGTGCGCGCTGTACGAGAGCGAGACGAAGGGACGGGGCTGCAACATCACGGAGTGCGTCCCGGTGCCCAGCTCCGAGCATGTGGCCGAGATCGTGGGGAGACAAGGTAAAACCGTCTGCTTCCTGCCAAACTTCCTGCCCCCCTCCCCGAAACAGCTGCATGCTCCTCCGACGGTTACCTGGTGTTTGACAAAGAACAGGGAGTGGTGGGAGCTTTCACTCCATCCTCCCACTTTTTCCGCTACAAGTTCTCAGCGCCAACAGCGTGCACGCGGCGGCTCCTTTCTTCTTTTATTGTTGATTTCAGGGAGCAGGGGTGTGTGTGTGTGTGTGTGTGGGGGGGGGGTGTGTTTAGATTAAAGCCCCCCCATCTCAGCTCCTGGATGAATTCTTCTCCGTCCACGCCATGATGAGTGTGAGCGCGCAGACACGCGTGGAGCAGGGGGAGCGCGGCTTCCTTTGTCGTCTGAGACGCGCCAGACTGTTCAAAAAAAAAAAAAAAGAAGCAGGGCAGCTGCTCAGGAGAGGGTGGCTTTCACCCTGAACCACAAGCAGGGCTGAGGGTTCGAGGGCCGGATGTGCAGCTCTTTGTTTACCTCGCGCTGGCCCACTGACACAGATGGACAAAGAGTGGGGGGGTCACCTTGTTGGGCATCTCCTCCTCGGAGTTCACACGCACAACTGTTACATTTCATATCCTTAGAATGAACAAAGAGCTGAAGACTGACAGCAGCTGTCAAACACGAGCAGGGACGGATGTAGGGTTTTTATTGTTGGGGGGGGCGGGGGCAGAATTTATTGTTACAAGTAAAGTTTACTGTTACGCTGAATTTCAGGCATTCACATTGTTTGTTTGTGCACATAAAACAAGACTAAATGCAAAACAAAAACCTTGTTCGTCACCAGATTCAGTGGATGTTTTCAGTGACCGACGGTCCGACACGTTTTTAATCTCACGGACGATGGTTTCGTTTTGATCATAGTTTACAGCAGTAATAGTTTAACTTATAAAAGCGCATGCACACGTAAAGAAGAACAGTGTGGGCTGCAGATGTGTGGCTGTAGCAGCTGCTGCTGCTGCATCGAATGTGCAGGCCTCTCTGGTTGCTGGACTTTTTAAATTGCTCATAAATGTCCAAATTATTGCTCTTTGTCTAAATGAAATAAACAGCTCGTCTGCACCGACGCACACAAAACTAAATTTAATTTGTAACATCATCTTTTAAAGAATTGTCCTAAAAAGTGGTGCACAACGTGCGTTTAAGTGTTAAAATCGTCTTTACACGGGCCCAAAGGAAATAAAAATATTTTAATTGAGGGCAAACCTGTCAATATTTCTTTGAAAATATCGTTTAAACACTGGCACGTTTCAGATGATCTTTGTTCAGATTGGACAGTTCTGAGTTGTGGGCCTCCAGCGTTTGTTGACAATGGGTGAAATCACCCGGTCCAGTTGAAACCAGTCGATGTGTAACCTGCTCAGGATAGAGATGAATGTTTTGTGCAACCTACAAACAGAACAACTGGATATATCATGTTTACAGTGCCAGCTGCCCCCCTGTGCCCCCCTCTAGAGCCACCACTGGTTATGAGGGGAGGATGCTCTTAAAGGTGACTCAGCAAGAAGTTCCACCATCAGGGGTTTTGGCGGGAAGAACCCCTAAAATCTGAGTATTTGTTTCCAACAAGCTTTTGTTTGTTTGTTAGCTTCAAGCTAAGCTGACAGAAATGTTTATTGTTGTTTTGTTGTGTTTTAAAAGTATGACATCGGAGATGAATAAGATTATCCTGAACTGTATCAAACGGTGCGGTCTGAAGGAGTTTACTCCGGCAGTTATTAGATATGCATCACAACAATGTGGGTACGCACTGAATGTAAACACAGTGTCAGCCTGAGTCACATGACTGACCTACATCAGTCTGTAAACACCGTCAGACAGATGAACCCGTTTCCTGTCGTGTTGGCTTTCTGAAGGTAAAGCACGTGGGGGCTTGCATCCCGCCACAGATCTTTAATTTAAAGACACTTCGCTGAGTTAAAATAATAATAATAATTGTGCAAATTGAGCTTCTTATTTCACGACTTTATTTTGTCTGATCTTCATGACTTTGCATTGAGCACTTTTAATATTCAAGGGGGGGAACAGGGTAGTAGCATGTGAAAGCTGAAGGATGCAGTCACGCCTTGAGCACACTCTCAATGCCACATGGTTGTCTGTCATGATGGGCGGTGGGTGGGGGGGTGGGGGGGTTGGGAGACGGGAGGGGGTGGGTTCAGACTGAGGCACAAAGACTGCAGAGTGGGT